GTTGTGACAGGATCCACAGGCATAACACCAGACACAAACATCTTTATGACATTCCCCGTGTTTGACTAAACCTTTACAAAAATTCAATGTATTTCAAAGGACCTAAAATCTGGAACACCCTACCCGAAAACTCTAGAACTGCAGACACATTCATCACTTTCAAAACTACAGTTAAAAAACATCTTATCTCCCTGAACCACCCCGACAACTAACTACATGATAACCACTTGGTGGTTCACAATTACACTCACTCACCCACTGACTATAAACCCAGAAATACTAATCTTAATCTTAAAATAATAAATCCTAACTAGTCATAAGTTTGTCTATGATACTCCAATATAGACACTTTGTATTGTGCCAAAACAAAAGCATTCACATTGCTAAACTCACAAATTATGATGTAGTCACTTAGCCTTAATACCATAATCTGTAAGGATTTAATGTTAAGAATTAATCTAAGTCTGCTCGAAATACCTAGCCATGCTAGGTGTCCTATTGGCCCCCTCTGTAATTAGTATTTTATAACATGTAAACCACACAATACCCAAAACCTGTAAACCCCACATTGTAACCCTTATAGAGAATAAACTTGAATTGAATTGAATTGAATTGAAAAGTTACAGCCCGGGTTGTTCACTGAATGGTAGCAATGAGCGTACTGATGCTACCTGGAGGTTACCTGGAGGTTATTCCGGGGATCAATGCCCCCGCGACTCGGTCCATGACCAGGCCTCCCGATTGATCAGGGCCTGATCAACTAGGCTGTTACTGCTGGCCGCACGTAGTCCAACGTACAAGCCACAGCCCGGCTGATCCAGCACTGACTTTAGGTATCTGTCCAGCTCTCTCTTGAAGGCAGCCAGGGGTTTATTGGCAATTCCCCTAATGCTTGATGGGAGGCTGTTGAACAGTCTTGGGCCCCGGACACTTATTGTGTTTTCCCTTAGTGTACCAATGGCGCCCCTACTTTTTATTGGGGGCATTTTGCATCGCCTGCCCAGTCTTTTGCTTTCGTAGGGAGTGATTTCTGTGTGCAGATTTGGGACCATTCCTTCCAGATTTCCAAGTGTAGATTATGAATATCTCCCTCCTGCTTTTCCAACGAGTACAAGTCAAGTGCTTCCAAGCGTTCCCAGTAGTTATGGTGCTTGACAGAACTTATACGTGCAGTAAAGGATCTCTGTACACTCTCTACATCTGCGATTTCACCTGCTTTGAATGAGATGTTAATGTACAGCAGTATTCCAGCCTAGAGAGAACAAGTGATTTGAAAAGGATCATCATTAGCTTATCATCTCTCGTTTTGAACGTTCTCATTATCCATCCTATCATTTTCTTTGCACGTGCGATCGTGGCACTGTTGTGATCCTTGAAAGTGAGATCCTCAGACATTACTACTCCCAGGTCCCTTACATTATTTTTCCGCTCTATTGTATGGCCAGAGTCTGTAGTATACTCTGTTCTAGTTATTATCTCCTCCAGTTGTCCATAACGGAGTAGTTGGAATTTGTCCTAGCAGGCACCCAAATGACTGTAACCATAAAATTTCTAATAATTCCTTAGAATTAGTATTAGTCTGCTCGAGATCCCTGGGCATGCTAGTGACCTTCTTTGTAACTTTATAACTTGTAAACCAATATTTTAAGCTTTTCAAGGGTATAAAGATTTTGATTTGATTTTGATGCAAGTTTTAGCACACAAGTTATATTCCAAACAAAGGTCGGATACCTAGGAAAAATTTTCGTGTCCAAACAGGATGTATTCCAAGTTGGACTTATTCCAAAGTGGATGTATACTGAGGTACCACTGTAGCTTGAAATTGAACTCAAAATGGCAGAAATATTAAATTTTTGCTGATATTCCAGAGTACACAAATCACGTCACTCATCGAATACATGTCCAACTAATCAGTCTAATACCCATTCACGAATGTGCTGACATTATATATACAATTATTTCAATAATGCAGTAGTTTGCATAATAGTAAATCTGTTTTTTGTGTGAATAAAAATTCAAAATGGAAAGCAAGTGGAGAGACCTGGGGATGTAACTAATGAACAAAGGAAATATTGTTTTAGTGCCAGGAATGTCTGCATTGTTTATTCTGGACCCTATTTTGAAATTGACATTTTTTTAATTTTGTGTGAAATTGTCAAATTACCGATTTTTGCTCACTTTATTGAAATAGTTAAATGGGCGGTTTGTGCTCAGTCGATAGAATGGATGGCGTAATTGTGAAATAGGTAAGAATTTGGTTGACTGGAGCAATGGAATTGGCCTAAAATCGAGGTTAGGAAAATCGCCGGTTCATAAATATTGCCCAGACCACTAACTTTGTGAAAGCATAATTCTGTAAGCTTACAGTCATCACCTTTGGAAAAAAGTTTTTTTCTTCTTTTTAAAGAATTCTTGGACTCTGTGGACATGTTTCACATTAGGGATGTGGACCCTCAAACGGCTAATTGATGAAGGACGAAGTGTTGGAGTGTGGTGGTTTGTGTGTGTCTCCAGCCAAAACAAAAGCATTCACATTGCTAAACTCACAAACTAGTATTTAGTCACTTAGCCATAATACCAACTTACCTCATAATTTGTAATATTTTAAAATTAAGATTTAAACTAAGTCTGCCCGAAATGCCTAGCCATGCTAGGTGTTCTAGTGGTACACTCTGTAATTATTATTTTACTACATGTAAACCACACAATAACCAAATTCTGTAAACTCAGCATTGTAATCCTTGTAGAGAATAAACTTAGAATTTGAATTTGAACTCATCCGGCCTCACCATAACTCAGTGTGTGGCTAGACACTGTACTGGGATTGTGCACTTATCATTACTCATGGCTTTCAATTACTAAAACATCTCTGGCTCCTGTCCAGTCTTCACCAGACAAATATGAACTCTCTGTATGTACTAAGAGCAATCATACATAAAGTATGAATATACATACTATCGAAGATACGGTACTATGCTCCACAGTCAGCCCTCCTGGCCCTATATCACTCTCTTATTTACCCCTATCTCACCTATGGAATTTGTGCATGGGGCTCAACAACAAGTAACCATCTCAGACCACTAATTACCCAACAAAAGGCTGCAGTTAGAATGATAACAAATTCTCACTATAGGCAGCACACTCCACCAATATTCAATACACTAAACCTACTCACCATACAAAACATTCATACTTATTACTGCACCTATTACATACATAGAACACTTAACTCTGATATTAACCCTCCCCTCAAACATCTCCTTGCCAACCTCAACAGAACACATGACCATAACACAAGGCACAGATCACTCTTTGATGTTCCTCGTGTCCATCTCACGCTATGCAAAAACTCAATGCACATAAAAGGCCCTAAAATCTGGAACTCATTACCTGTAAATATAAAGAAACACTACCTGTTTATAAATTCAAGTCTCTTCTCAAAGATCACTTACTCACCCAAAACCAAATAAATACTGAATAACTGAACCTTATAAATTGTATATCTTAAATGTTTCTCGCAATTATATCACATAAATGTTAAACCTAAAACCCAATCTAACTTTATTATTTTTTAAATACACTACCTAACAGAATACTCCATTCTACTGAATGTACAACAATGCATACAACCATATGACCTGTCTTTGTAATACTCACTTGTGCTTTATAGTAATCTGTTTACATTAAAGTTTTATCACTGATGTCATCATTGCTTAGTTAATCTTAAGTTAATTTTAAGCCAGCCCGTAATGCTATGCATAGTATAAGTGGCTTTGGCATGCTGCTCTTATCTGTATTTTTTGTACCTCTGTATGTGTGCTCAAATTTTTAAATAAATAAATAAATAAATAAATAAATACAGTGGACCCCCGGTTAACGATATTTTTTCACTCCATAAGTATGTTCAGGTGCCAGTACTGACCGAATTTATTCCCATAAGGAATATTGTGAAGTAGATTAGTCCATTTCAGACCCCCAAACATACACGTACAAACGCACTTACATAAATACACTTACATAATTGGTCGCATTCGGAGGTAATCGTTATGCGGGGGTCCACTGTACTTGGTTAAAAACTAACAGAAAGAAATATAATGTTAATAATTCAACCTAACTAAAACATATTTATTACATCTGTGGGTCTTGATCATTCTCTCACAAACAAATGTGAGTGTTCTACACATCATAAAATGAGCATACACACAGTATGAATACACTGAGTAAAGGGAGGTGTATAATTAGTAGGTTATATGTGTATTGTTGAATTATTATTACATGATCTCTATTGGTTTGGCAAAACTGATATTCCATCAAGACTTTGGAACTTAATGTGCTGAAGAATCGGTGGTGTACCTGTATTGGGTTATCCTGGCCCAAGTCTACACAGTGTGCTTCTTGGCTAAATTCCATTGTTAGTATCATGAAATTATAAGAAATTTGGTATGAATTAGGCAAGTTCCTGCCAGTTCCATGCACTGAATGGAGGGAAGCTGGTGGTGTCACAACATGCCCTGGTTACATTGTTCTTACACGTGCTAGAGAGGCAGTGTTACTCATAATTCAATGCAGGTATCATGTATTTTAGATTTCTTTCCTGGGCACAAATAGTTAAGCTGGAGTTGTGTTTAAACTGTAGCTTGTATGGACAGTCCACCTTGTCTGTGGTAGTGGGCATGTTAGGAATAAGGCAGGATAGTATAAACTCACGTAGACTAGACATGGTTTATTGGCAGATGGGTCTCCAGACAGACACGGGTAAGGGCAAGCCAGTAGTACCAAGGACCAAGGGTGAGCTCTTGGTCGGAGCATTGCTGGGGCATGAAAATTAGTCATACAAGTACATTGACTAACACATATTGGCCCATTGTATTCAAGTACATTGTACAAAACTTTAGAATTACCAAGATTTCATAGAAAATATTATAGAATGTACTGATTACTTGGTGCTGTTCAGATTCTGTACATCATTGATATTCTAGAATAACATTTTATATTTCCAGAAAAGTGCCTGTGTGCTAGAAAACTCCATTTTAACTTCCACTGAGCGGGAAGAAATCCGTCATCAGTTGGTCAAAGCAGAAGGAATGAAAGTTGAAGCCATCAAAACGATTAGAGGTATAATTATTTCTTAATCTCATTACTGATGAAGGGCTCTTGATTCATACAACTGAAGTTACTCTTCTTGGATAGAGTCTGATTGCCTCCCATTCATTATGTATATCTAGAGAGGGTTTCAGGGGCCAACGCCCCCGCGGCTTGGTCTGAGACCAGGCCTCGTGGTGGATTAGGGTCTGATCAACCAGGCTGTTACTGCTGGCCGCACACAAACTGATGTATGAACCACAGCCAGGCTGTGGTTCGTATGTCAATTTGCATGCAACCAGCAGTAACAGCCTGGTTGATCAGACCCTGATCCACCATGAGGCCTGGTCTCAGACCGAGCCACGGGGGCGTTGGCCCCTGAAACCCTCTCCAGGTATACTTCAACTGCTCTATAATGCTTATGGGTTTAGCATTTCCCTTATGAATATAATAATAATAATAATATTAATCCTTAAACTGTCCAAACGTAGATCTACGTTTGCTTATGTAGCACTCCAAACGTAGATCTACGTTCGCTCGTGTAGCGCTCGAAATGTAGATCTATGTTCGCTCGTGTAGTGCTCCAAACGTAGATCTACGTTCGCTTGTGTAGCGCTCCAAACGTAGATTTACATTTGCGCGTGTAGCGCTCCAAACATAGATCTACGTTCGTTCGTGTAGCACTCCAAACGTAGATCTATGTTCGCTCGTGTAGCGCTCCAAACGTAGATCTTCGTTCGCTCGTGTAGCGCTCCAAACGTAGATCTACGTTCGCTCGTGTAGCGCTCCAAACGTAGATCTACGTTTGCTCGTGTAGCGCTCCAAACATAGATCTACGTTTTTTTTACATGCTTTCAAATGGAGGAAAATCAAGGTCAGAGCGTTACACTCATAAACATAGATCTACATTTGGATAGTTGAAGGGTTGATGTAGATGTCACTGCAGTTGAAGGGTTGATGTAGATGTCACTGCAGTTGAAGGGTTGATGTAGATGTCACTGCAGTTGAAGGGTTGATGTAGATGTCACTGCAGTTGAAGGGTTGATGTAGATGTCACTGCAGTTGAAGGTTGATGTAGATGTCACTGCAGTTGAAGGGTTGATGTAGATGTCACTGCAGTTGAAGGGTTGATGTAGATGTCACTGCAGTTGAAGGGTTGATGTAGATGTCACTGCAGTTGAAGGGTTGATGTAGATGTCACTGCAGTTGATGGGTTGATGTAGATGTCACTGCAGTTCAGCTTGAAATATACATCTTATGCTTTGTATTTGTTTGTTTAAAATTGTGCAGCTTCAAAGTTTGATGTTTTGTGGGTGTTTTTTTTAATTAAATTTAAATGTGTATATATTCTTTAAAAGGAAAATTTTTTAATGAAATTTAAATGTGTGTATTCTTTCAAAAGAAATTTATAAATTGTATGATTTTCCTACCTAACATTCTTGTTTGAGGTTTTACTGGGATGAGGTGGATAACTATGATTCTCGTGTTGATGTGGGGTGGATAACTGATTCTTGTGTTCTTGTAGGTGGATAACTGTGATTCTTGTGTTCATGTAGGTGGATAACCGTGATCCTTGAGTTGACGTGAGTGGATAACTGTGATTCTTGTATTGATGTGGATGCAGAGTTATCAGTCATCATTGTATCAATGATTAGGATTTTTTCTGAGTTACAGTGGACCCTCGACCAGCGATGGCATCGATTAATGATAAATCTGACTAGCGATACATTTTATCGCAAAAATTTTGCCTCGATTAGCGCTAAAAAACTCGACCAACACTATTCGTTCCGTCTGAGACGCGTCCACTTCTGGCCAGTGTTTACAACCCAGCCAGCCACCGCGGTCACTTCCAAGCATACAATCGGAACATTTCATATTATCACAGCCTTTTTAGTGATTGCACCTGCAAAATAAGTCACCATGGGCCCCAAGAAAGCTTCTAGTGCCAACCCTACAGCAAAAAGGGTGAGAATTACTATGGATATGAAGAAAGAGATCATTGCTAAGTATGAAAGTGGAGTGCATGTCTCCGAGCTGGCCAGGCTGTACACAAAACCCCAATCAACCATCGCTACTATTGTGGGCCAAGAAAACGGCAATCAAGGAAGCTGTTCTTGCCAAAGGTGCCCAAATATGTTTTTCGAAAACTGAGATCGCAAGTGATAGAAGATGTTGAGAGACTGTTATTGGTATGGATAAACGAAAAACAGATAGCAGGAGATAGCAGCTCTCAAGCGATCATATGTGAAAAGGCTAGGAAGTTGCATGAGGATTTAATAAGAAAAATGCCAGCAACTAGTGGTGATGTGAGTGAATTTAAGGCCAGCAAAGGTTGGTTTGAGAGATTTAAAAATCGTAGTGGCATACATAGTGTGATAAGGCATGTTGAGGCTGCCAGTTTGGACCAAAAAGCAGCTGAAAAATATGTGCAGGAATTCAATGAGTACATAGACAGTGAAGGACTGAAACCTGAACAAGTGTTTAATGGTGACACTGACAATGTTGTGAAACACTTTAGGAATGTCATAAAGGAACGGGAGGTACAGGCCTCTATGGGCAGATATGTTGTGCGACAGAGGTCCAGTGACTCTCAAGCTGGTCCTAGTGGCATTAAAAGAAGAAGGGAAGTAACCCCAAAAAAGGACTTGCCACCTCAAGTCCTAATGGAAGGGGATTCCCCTTCTGAACACTAAGACCATCAACACACTCCCCTCTTCCCATCCCATCAATCATCACCAGATCTTCAATAAAGGTAAGTGTCATGTAACTGTGCATGTCTTCTTCAGTTTGTGTGTATTAAAATTAATATTTCATGTGTTTAAAATTTTTTTTTTTCAATACTTTTGGGTGTCTTGCACGGATTAATTTGATTTCCATTATTTCTTATGGGGAAAATTAACTTGACTAACGATTTTTTTGACTAACGATGAGCTCTCAGGAACGGATTAATAGCGCTAGTAATCCTAATTTAGATTCAAGGCTGCTTGAAATACCTTGTAAGTCCTACTCAAATCCAGTCTTTCTCATTCTTAAATTTGTCTAACATATTTTAAAGTTACCCAGTTTTAGCTTCATTGATCAAAGGAGGGAGGACGGGAGGGAAGCAGGCTGGAAGGAAGGCTTTAAAATTATTTATTATTAATATTAACACACTGGCCGATTCCCATCAAGGCAGGGTGGCCAGAAAAAGAAAAACTTTCACCATCATTCACTCCATCACTGTCTTGCGAGAAGGGTGCTTTACACTACAGTTTTTAAATTGCAACATTAACACCCCTCCTTCAGAGTGCAGGCACTGTACTTCCCATCTCCAGGACGCAAGTCCGGCCTGCCGGTTTCCCTGAATCCCTTCATAAATGTTACTTTGCTCACACTCCAACAGCACGTCAAGTATTAAAAACCATTTGTCTCCATTCACTCCTATCAAACACGCTTATGCATGCCTGCTGGAAGTCCAAGCCCCTCGCACACAAAGCCTTCTTTACCCCCTCCCTCCAACCTTTCCTAGGCCGACCCCTACCCCGCCTTCCTTCCACTACAGATTGATACACTCTTGAAGTCATTCTGTTTCACTCCATTCTCTCTACATGTCCAAACCACCTCAACAACCCTTCCTCAGCCCTCTGGACAACAGTTTTGGTAATCCCGCACCTCCTCCTAACTTCCAAACTACGAATTCTCTGCATTATATTCACACCACACATTGCCCTCAGACATGACATCTCCACTGCCTCCAGCCTTCTCCTCGCTGCAACATTTATCACCCATGCTTCACACCCATATAAGAGCGTTGGTAAAACTATACTCTCATACATTCCCCTCTTTGCCTCCAAGGACAAAGTTCTTTGTCTCCACAGACTCCTAAGTGCACCGCTCACCCTTTTCCCCTCATCAGTTCTATGATTCTCCTCATCTTTCATGACCCATCCGCTGACACGTCCACTCCCAAATATCTGAATACATTCACTTCCTCCATACTCTCTCCCTCCAATCTGATATCCAATCTTTCATCACCTAATCTTTTTATCCTCATAACCTTACTCTTTCCTGTATTCACTTTTAATTTTCTTCTTTTGCATACCCTACCAAATTCATCCACCAACCTCTGCAACTTCTCTTCAGAATCTCCCAAGAGCACAGTGTCATCAGCAAAGAGCAACTGTGACAACTCCCACTTTGTGTGATTTTTTATCTTTTAACTCCACGCCTCTTGCCAAGACCCTTGTATTTACTTCTCTTACAACCCCATCTATAAATATATTAAACAACCATGGTGACATCACACATCCTTGTCTAAGGCCTTCTTTTACTGGGAAATAATCTCCCTCTTTCCTACATACTCTAACTTGAGCCTCACTATCCTCGTAAAAACTCTTCACTGCTTTCAGTAACCTACCTCCTACACCATACACCTGCAACATCTGCCACATTGCATCCCTATCCACCCTGTCATATGCCTTTTCCAAATCCATAAATGCCACAAAAACCTCTTTAGCCTTATCTAAATACTGTTCACTTACATGTTTCACTGTAAACACCTGGTCCACACACCCCCTACCTTTCCTAAAGCCTCCTTGTTCATCTGCTATCCTATTCTCCGTCTTACTCTTAATGCTTTTAATAATAACTCTACCATACACTTTGCCAGGTATACTCAACAGACTTATCCCCCTATAATTTTTGCACTCTCTTTTGTTCCCTTTGCCTTTATACAAAGGAACTATGCATGCTCTCTGCCAATCCCTAGGTACCTTACCCTCTTCCAAACATTTATTAAATAATTACACCAACCACTCCAAAACTATATCCCCACCTGCTTTTAACATTTCTATCTTTATCCCATCAATCCCGGCTGCTTTACCCCCTTTTATTTTACCTACTGCCTCACAAACTTCCCCCACACTCACAACTGGCTCTTCCTCACTCCTACAAGATGTTATTCCTCCTTGCCCTATACACGAAATCACAGCTTCCCTATCTTCATCAACATTTAACAATTCCTCAAAATATTCCCTCCATCTTCCCAATACCTCTAACTCTCCATTTAATAACTCTCCTCTCCTATTTTTAACTGACAAATCCATTTGTTCTCTAGGCTTCCTTAACTTGTTAATCTCACTCCAAAACTTTTTCTTATTTTCAACAAAATTTGTTGATAACATCTCACCCACTCTCTCATTTGCTCTCTTTTTACATTGCTTCACCACTCTCTTAACCTCTCTCTTTTTCTCCATATACTCTTCCTTCCTTGCATTACTTCTACTTGGTAAAAACTTCTCATATGCTAACTTTTTCTCCCTTACTACTCTCAGGCTGCACAAATACAGCCTCTCCTCACTTAGCAATGTACTCGTTTACTGACTACTCTGACTTACAACGGGCTCTCTGACCAGTATGCAAACGTAAATAACATATATTAGAGCTAATTTCCTCTATTCCGTTTATTACAGTATACAGTACACTACTGTATAAACATTTAAAAATATACTAAAAACCTTATAAATGGTGCAAAGGTGACATTAAATATTATCAGAGATGGTTGACACAAACTCACTACCATTATAGTATGCTCCTCACTTAGCGATGAATTCGTTTACCAATGTGGTCTTAGGAACGAAACTCTGTCATTAAGTGAGGAGAGGCTGTATATGAGTGAGAATACTTGGATTTGAGTAGGTCTTGTCTAATTTGGACCAGTAGGGCTATGGCAGTGCTCCACCTGTGTTATGTCATATGGTTGGGTGTGAGTAGGTCATGCTTAGCTTGGGCTAGTAGGCCTACTGCAGTGCTCTTTAATATTTCTGATCAGTTGTCACATTTTCATTTCTTTTTTAACCCTTCCCCCCCATCCCTCCCTCCCGAGTTTTGGCCAGAATAAATTTTGAATTAGAATCATTTGACCCCTTTTACGTCCCTTAGAAACTATATATGTAAAAACTAAGGATTTTTTAACAAAATATCATGGGTCGACTTATACATGGAGTGTATATATCGTGTATATTGTGTATCGTTCCAGCCACGGTATTGTGCCTTATTTTGTTATTTATATGCCTTGTAAGAATTTGCTAAACTTGTTCAAGATGGGATGCACCTTGTTAGGTTGGTTAGTTATTTTGATGTTTATTGTATTATTTTTTTTTTTTTTTTTTTTTAGGAGACATGTACTTCCCCAGGAAATGGAAAGAAGAAGGGCGTGTTTATGGAAGACAACAAAATGCTGTGAAAAAAGATGCCAGGTGCGTTGCCATGATAGTATTTGAAGAATTTTTGATGTTAAATTTATACAGTGTGTAAGAATTCTCTATAATGAGGAAATTGCAGTTACATTACAGTGGACCCCCGGTTAACGAACTTTTTTCATTCCAGTAGTATGTTCAGGTGCCAGTACTGACCGAATTTTTTCCCATAAGGAATATTGTGAAGTAGATTAGTCAATTTCAGACCCCCAAACATACACGTACAAACGCACTTACATAAATACACTTACATAACTGGTCGCATTTGGAGGTGATCGTTATGCGGGGGTCCACTGTATTTCTTAGCCTATCCGTGGAAGCAAAGACGGGAAGGCATATAAGTATAGTTATACCAATGCTCTTATATAGGTGTGAAGCATGGGTGGAGAATGTTGCAACAAGGAGAAGGCTGGAGGCAGTGGAGATGTTGTGTTTGAGGGCAATGTGTGGTGTCAATATAATGCAAAGAATCCGTAGTTTGGAAATTAGGAGGAGGTGCAGGGTTACTAAAAGTATTATCCAGAGGACTGAGGAGGGGTTCAGACATTTAGAGAAGCTGAAATGAAATAGAATGACCTGGAGGGCATATAAATCTGTAGCAGAATGAAGGCAAGGTAGGGATCGACGTAGGGTGTCCCGTAGCTTAATTGCTATTGCACTCAGCTCACACACTGAGGTCTGGGGTTCAATTCCCTGGTACAGCTGGAAAACATTAGGACATGTTTCCTCAAGACACCTACTCTCCATGTGAACACATCAGTAAAATGGGTACCTGGGTGTTAGTCGACTAGTGTGGGTCGCATCCTGGGGCAAAACTGACCTAATTTGACCAAAATGCTCTGCATAACAAGGGGCTTTCTATGTCACTGATGTCAGCTGTGGCCTGTATGCCTTGTAAATGTACTTGTAGAAATAAGGATAGTATTATTATTATTATTCTTAAGAAAGGTTGGAGGGAGGTGGTAAAGGAAATTTTGTGTGTGAGGGGTTTTGACTTCCAGCAAGCGTGTGAGTGTGTTAGATAAGAGTGACAAATGGTTTTTAAGACTTGACGTGCTGTTGGAGTGTGAGCAAGGTAACATTTATGTAGGGATTCAGAGAAACCAGTTAGCCAGACTTGAGTCCTGGAGATGGGAAGTACAGTGTCTGCACTCTGAAGGAGGGGTGTTAATGTTGTAGTTTAAAAACTGTAGTGTAAAGCACCCTTCTGGCAAGACAGTGATGGAGTGAATGATGATGAAAGTGTTAATTCTTTTTTGAGTCACCTTTCCTTGGTGGGAAACAGCCATTGTGTTAATAAAAAATAAAAATAAAAAAATCTTAGTTCTTTCCACTTAAGTTGGGGAATAAAGTCAATTTTATTTTCTATGAGACATCACATTATATTCTGGTTTATCATGAGAAGCCTACCACAGACACACACACACACACACACACACACACACACACACACACACACACAACACACCACACACACAACACAACCACACAGCACACACACACACACACACACACCCACCCCCGTGGGTCCATGGGGTGCAGACGTGGGTAACAAGGCTCCGAGAACCTTAGCGTTGTAAGGTGTGCAATAACAGCTAGCAGTAATCAGTGGTAGTGGAACGTCAGTGAACAATAGTATGAGTGATAATTAAAGTTATTATTAAAAAAAAGTGAGAAGGAAACTGAAATCAAAAATTACAAAGCGCAAACCGTTTGGGGCTTAGGCGCTAATGCCACATTGCCACGGTAGGCCTGAAGAAGTGACGTCACGATAAGTTGTTTTTTTGTGCCATTATACATATAAATGAAGTGTATATAAATGTGAAGTGAATACTATTCACAGTGAAGAGTGAAATCGCGTGAGAAGCGGGATGTATGAGAATATATAGGTTATAAACGCATCATCGGTGAAGGATCTCAAAAATAGGATTAGAGGCCTACGTATGACGACTTCGTCATCCGTAGCTGGCAACATGGCACCTGCACCATTGAGCGCAAGTTTTCCATTTCGCACTATTTTGAGTGGTTTGCATGTGAAGGCCCTGGCTGCCTTGCATAATGATTGATTCTGGTCACTCATCTCCTGGAAGCTAATACCAGAAATAGAAAATGAAATAGCAATAAGACATAGTGCAAATAGTGTTGACGACGTTGAGAAGGTAAGTCCAGCGAGGATAAGAAGTAATAAATCCATTAGTTATTAGCAGTAAGAATACTTAGGAAGCTAGGAAGTCCTCTCCCAATGTGAACATGGAACAGGATAATAACCACAATAATTGATACTAAATCCAGACACAGACACACACACAATGCGAGTGTCTTACTAATAACTATGTGTGCAGGACACTACTTGTAAGGCAACATTGTAAGACGGTGCGAGGGTTTAAGTTCCCAGGAGGTTGTGGCAGGTCACAAGAAGTTTTGTGGCCAGTCATTACACCGCACAAGACACCTCTCTCTCAACACACACAACTCACACACACACACACACTACGCACAACAGGGTAGGGCAAGTAGTTTGCTAACCGCAGTTATTAGCAAGTAAGAATAATAGGAAAGCTAGGAATTCCTCTCTCAATGTGAACAAAAGGGGAATATGATAATAACAGCAACAATTAATACGTAAATCCAGAAAGGGCAATAAGTGGAGAGAGTAGCATAATTGGGAAGATAATAATGAGACTAAATTGTTGCCTACACGACGGATCTTTCAACCACATTCAACCACCTACCTCCCCCTAACCACCAACCTCCCTCACACACAACACACACCACAAGGGTAATAAACACTCATAGAAGCGTCTAGACCCAAGTAGCAAGTTCCGCTTTTTATAACCCAGAATTACTGGTATGGTTTAGCATATCATCCTTCTCACCTCCCCCATACACATGAAAACGACACATACACTAACACACACACACAACACACACACACACACACACACTACACACACACACACACACACACACACACAATGCAACAGACACACACACACACATATGCACACACACACGCACACACACACGCACACACACACATGCACATGACATCATATACACTCCACATGCACAAACACACACATGCACACACACACACACACACAACACATGCACACCAACACACACACATACTCACACACACACACACACCACACACATACACACAAAGTACGCACAACACACACACACACACACACACACACACTCACCCACACACACACACACACACACACACACACACACATGTGGCCAGGAGCTCGGACTCGATCCCCTGCAACCTCAACTAGGTGAGTACACACACCCAGCACCACTTGGCACAAACACGTACCCCCCTCCCCTAACCACCTCTCCCCCTTCCTAACCACCTCACCTTAGCCACCCGTAACCCCTCCCAAACTCACCTAACCCCTCCACAAACCATCAAACCCCCTCAACTACCTCCCTCCCTCCAATAACCAAACCTCTCCCTCCCCCAGAACCATCCATCCCCTCTCTCTCTTCAAACACGTACTCTCCCCCTCCTCGAACCACCTCTTCCCCTTCCCTAACCCACCTAACCCTAGCCACCTACCCCTCCCCAAAAAACCATCTTAACCCCCTCCCCCAACTATCTAACCCCACCCCCAACTATCTCTACCCCTCCGATTAACCATCCTCCCAATCCCCAATAACCCTCCATCCCCTCCCCTCCTAACCCTCTATTCCCCTCCCGTAACCACCGTCCCCCCATCTGTGGAGCAACGGGGGAAACCTAGAACCAGGATGAGGACAAGGGCTTCCTAGGAAGAATCTGGGAGGAAGAATTGGAGGCAGAGCTCAAAAAAAGGGAGGAAGACTGGGAAGAAGAATAGATGAGCAGGAAAGGAAGATTGGAAGAGAGGTTAGCAGCAAATGCAGAAGGGGTTGGAAGCAAACTGGGCCACAGCAGCAGAAATCCAAGAAAGAGAATGAGAAGAGGACTAGACATCTGAAACCAGCTTAGAGACCAAAGATATTACAGAAGTAGCATCGGCATGCTAATCGGCAGTACACAGACAACAGTCTGAAGGGACAAGGAAACTAACTTATGCAGAGGTGTACCTGTCAAACCCACATGGCCAAAACAAAGACAGGGACACACTAGACAGAATGAGAGGTTGGAAGACATTGAAGGAACTAGGACATGTGCAGGGACATACCAGGATACATGTGGGGGCCAGGAACTGGTGAGCAGAGAGGACAAACCAAGAAGCATAGGGGCCATAACTAGGGAAGGGACTGAAGGAAGGAACACGCCACGGGAAGGAACTAAAACACATCAGAGATGCAATGGGAGTCACAGTGGGGAGGTGGAAAGGAGAGATCCGTGTTTGTTTTATGGGCCTAGACAAAGTGCTAAAAGGTTAAACTTATGAGAGTGAAAGAAAGCAGAGGAAGAAAAAAACGATTGAGACCATCGTTGAAGGTGATAGGCGAGGGGGACATGACCCAGGTGGCAAATTTTCGGAGAATCGGGTGGATTCACAAAGAAAAGGTATCGCCTCTCAAAGTAATTTTCAAGGCATAATCCAACCCGAACCATGATCCTGCAGAGAAAGCCGGCTAGAGGCAAGCAGTAGTTTCCGGAGTGTGTACGCGCTCGATCGAGACTGAACACAGGACGAAAGGAAACAAGGAAAAGTGGGAGTTCAAAAACAAAAGGAGAAATGGGAGGAAATGAAAAAGGAGAGCAGAATAACCCAGATCAAAATGGAAGGAGAAGCACACCCCCCAGAAAGCACCTGCAGAAGGACTCCAGTCCATGAACAACCCCCAAATGGCAACTGAACAATCCAAACCAAACCATCACACACCGATCCCTCTGTTCCCAACCCCCCACACACAGTTACAGTATTAGAACATAAGTTTGAAGGTTTGGTACAACAAATGCCGATTGATTAACGATAAACATGAGGAATGGCAAAAAAGAATCAATGAGAAGTCCCCAGACATCATAGCAGTTACAGAAACAAAAAATCACG